TTTTTTTTTTTTTTTTTTTTTTTTTTTGTACCGGGAATCAAACTCATGACCTTGCACTTGCAAGGCAGGCGAGGTGCCACTGAGCTAAATCCCTGGCCCTCCAGCACTTCCTCTAAAGGATCAGAGGCTGGTGAGCAGCTGATGAGCAGGAGGCCAGAGGAGGGGAGAGGCAGAGCAGGCCCGTGTCCCTGACACGAGTGGCTTCTGGCTTCCCAGACATGGCCTGGGGTACCCTTCCCTCTTGGTGGACACAGAATGGGAGGTTCAGCTCCACTGTTCCAGAGGCCAGGCAGAGACAGTGTCAGCAGAGCAGCAGGTGTGGCTGGGTAGGGACCAGTACACTCCAGGGAACAGGCAAGTCCCCAGGCATCTGGTCTCAGGAGGTAGATGTTGCCCAGCCATCAAGACCTGCAGGAACTTGGCCAATCAGCCTCTCACTGAAATCTAGGAATATGGATTTTTATATGATATTTCTCGACTTTTATGTGTGTTTTTGTGTGTGTGTGTGTGTGTGTGTGTGTGTGTGTGTATGTGTTTGTGTGTGTTGGTACCGAGATCAAACTTGGGACCCTTGTGCTTTCGAGGCAAGGCCGAAGAACCACTGAGCTAAATCCCCGGCCCTACTTCTTAACTTTTAAATGCTGGCACTAAGCAAAACAAGCCCCTCACTTTTCTTTGAGACAAGGTCTTGCTCTGTAGTTCAAGCTGGTCTTGAACTCACTTTGTAGCCCAGCAGGGCCTCAAACTTAGGGCAATTCTCTTGCCTCAGCCTCTCCAGTGCTGGGGTCGTAGACAGGCACGACCATGCCACGCAACAAGCTCTATTTTAAAATACTGTGCAGTGTAGCCCATCCAGTTCACACCCGTGGATCCACTTGCCCAAGACCCAGCCAGTGACCTGACGACATGTGTATGCTGTGTGCTGCGTGCAGGGTCCTGAGTCACAGACTCTGGCGCTGCCACTCCAGATCTCAACCTGGTGCAGCTCCGCCCTCGCTGGGCTGGTGACCTGGGTGTGCTGAGTGCAAACTGCCCATTCTGGTTCTGAGAAGGACAAGGGCTCTGGGAAAGGCCACCTGCCAGCTCACACTTGGCCAGCAAGTGCAGTTCCGTGCCTGGAGCTTCATCGCCGTGTGGTACCTGGGCCTCCCCAGGTGATCTGGTCTACACCGCTCCAGATCACCTCAAGTGCACCATCCAAACCATCCCCAGATGACCACCCCGTCCCGCGAGTTCTCAAGAGGGCGCTCATCCCCACCCACCTTTGACAGACAATTCCAGGAGGTTCTCAGCATCCATACACTGGACCCAGGTCTGTGCCAAGGGAATAAAAAGACCCCCTTCCTGGAGTGCCCTCTTTGGGGACCCCCTTGGAAGGAACCCCCAAGTTGCCAAACATGCACCAAAGTAAAGCCTTCCCTGATTGCACCACAGTGGAGTCCCCAGCACAGATGTGGTGACCAACTTGAGCCAGACCTGCACACACAGATCGTTTTGGAACGGAAGTTGGGCCCTCTCCAGAAGCCTGTGTGTTCACTCCTGCTCACCTTCACCATCTATGCCCAGTGCACAGGCACTCCCTCCCCACTGGCCACCCCGTCCCTTTCCGTGCTTTGTGTCCCTTGCTGGCACCCCCACACCCTCAAAGAGCTCCGAGCTCACTGTCCCTCTGCTACCGACTAGTCCTGCTGCCCAGTACCCCAGTCCTGCAAAGACCAGTCCAAGTGTCAACCCCTCCAAATGTGACAGGGATCTTGTTTGGAGAAAGGGTCTTTTGGGTATAACCAAATCAACGATCCTGACTTGAGATCAGCCTGGAATTAGGATGGCCACCAAGAAGTGCCACTGTAACTGTAACTCAGTGGAGTAAAAGCTCACAGCCAGCATGAGGAAGGACCTGGGTTCGATCCCAGATCAAAAGAAAAAGGGGCGAGGGATTTAGCTCAGAGGTTCTGCCGCCTGCCTCGAAAGCGCAACGACCAGAGTTCAATCCCTGGTACCAAAAAAAATAAGAAAAGAATAAGGTGTCTTTGCAAGAGAAAGGTAGAGGGAGATCTGGGAAGACCCAGGAGGGAGACCATGTGAAGTCAGAGGCAGAGGCTAATAATGCAGCCCCAGCCGAGGATGCTGGACGGCAGGAAGGATGCTCCTCTAGGTTGTCTGGGTACGGCAAGGTCCTGTCCACACCTCACACTCAGCCCTCTGGTCCCCAGAAGTCTGAGAGAACCCATGTGTGTTGGGGGGCCACCAGGTTCCTGTCATTTGTCACAGGAGCTGCAGGACGCAGACAGGCAGGCAGCGGGGAAGGTGAAACTTGCAAGTGGCACAGCCATCCAGACCCTTGCTCTGCGTCCTCACCCCACTCCCCTCCCGACCACACTCAGCAGATCTCCAACAGCTGCGTCCAGGAGCCCCAAGGAAGGACAGCCGCCTCCAAATATCCCAGCTGCTGGGAGAAGTCACCAGAGGACGGCACCACTCCGGGTTTATCCCACAGCACTTGGCAAGGAGACAGATCATCGTCTGAAGGGATGCACCGTGTGCACCTGTCTCCCACGGAGGACTTCGCAAGGAGCACTCAGCCGGAAGCATTAGGAGCCAGGGCGTCATGAGGCTGGCAGGAAAGGGCCCTCTGGGATTTATTCCCCAACAGTCTGAAAAGTACCCCATGTTTTGCACTCATGCAGACAGACACCCCCTCTTCCCAATGTGAAACTCCAATGGAGACACCCCCCTCAGCGTCTACAGGGCCAGTATCTCCATCTAAGTCGCCATCCCCTTCCCTGAGGAAGGACAGGCAGCCAAGGGGCACCTGTGCGTGGTCAGAGGCCAGCAAGTGCGCTCACTCGTGAGCTTGACATGTGCAGATCTGAGACTGCCAGACAGCCACACGTCAGAGCCCAGGGACCAGCTAGGCAGAGCTGTGGCCTCTCCTGGGACCAAGGAGGCTTCCTGAGCACTGAATTCCTGTCTAGGAGTCAGCACAACTAAAGGGCGGGCAGGAGACTACCAGCAGGACCAGGTCACAGTGGTCTCCACGCTGCCACTGGGAGGTGAGACAGTCCCGCCCTGGGGCAAGAGGGCCACATTTACCCAACTTACCCTCCTTGGTGGCCGCACGTCCCCCCAAAGCCAGGCTCAACCCAGCCTGCTCCGAGAGCCTTCCTGGGGCCTGCTCACCCTCCTCAATTTGCACCAAAAGCCCGAAGTCAGATCCCAGGCTCTGGCCCACTTCTGGGAATGGATCCCAAGGAACAAGCAGAGGCACAGGAAGATTTATGGGCCGCGCCAATCACATCGGAACTAACACCACCAACACTGGAAACAATCCGGGTTTACGTAGCTCTTCCCAACCCATATGCCCAAGTCGCAAAGAGTCATCAAAACCATGTTCAAGAAGATGAGAAATGCTGAGGGTATTAAATAAAATAGCAGGACTCGAGACGTATACACGATCCTGGTTCCACGTCTCACACACATGTGCAACTCGCTCACACCCGGCAGAGGATGATTGTCTCCGGATGGTGTGATGGTGGGTGCTCTTCATCAGACCTCGCCGCCTCGCTCGCTGCCAGCACCGGACACGGTCCCTTCAGATGCTCAGGGCTTGAGTAACTGACTCTCCGCAGACACACCTTGCCGCAGACAAGTTGGAGGGCACGGGAAACTCTGCCGCCGGCAGCCCAGGCCTGCTCCTTGGATTAAGGCTCCAGCCCACTGCTTTTCTGAAGTCCAGGCTGGGCACTCGGCCCCCTCTTGTCCCTCAGGCACCTACAGTCTCAGCTGCTACACAAAGAAGCCAGAGTGGCCTCCCTCCAGATGGAGGCCTACCCCGCTGTGCCCATGGGGGGCCGGAGCAGGAGCAGCCTGGATCTGGGCCTGCTTAGAGAGGAATGTGCCATGCACAAGGGACCATTGTTCAGGCCTCTGCTCTGACCGCAGGCTGCCGCAGACCTCGCCAGCTCCTGAAACCAGATCAAGTAGTTCCTGGTGTACAAATTGGCGCTGGTCTGGGAAGGGGATATGGGGAGAGCCACAAAGCCCTTCCCCAGCCCGGGACAAATGTCTTGCAAAGGAATGCTAGAGCTGAGGTCAAACAGATCTATGCGTGCACAGCCCCCACCGGAGCGAACAGCACTGCATTCTGAGCGTAGACTCCCCATCCGGCAAACCCAGCCTCCTCCCTGCAGCAGCAAAGCAGGGGCTGGGAGATGGCACGGATGGACACACTGCCCTGTTCAC